CGGATGGCGCATGATAACTCCCATGCGCCCTTGTTGCTTGCGCGTTGCGGGGCTACAAAGTGCCGAAAGGCAACCTCAACCTCACCTGCGGACTGTCAAGAAATCCCCAACACAGAAGCTACCCAAAAAAGCACCGGGGATGGTAGTCCTGCCATGTCCTGCCTGAGGTTTGGGGTGGCAAAGGGTGTTCTACCAAACCGGTTTTTTTCGACCCGGGTGCCCTGGCGCCTGCTTTGGCCGGCACGGTGGCGGCAGTGGCAAGTCTCTCCTGACCTCGGTGCACCCAAACTTCAGCTGGCCAACCGCAGGGGGCTGTTCTCAAAAGGGAAGCCTTCCGGGCGGAAGGCTTGCTTGAAGTTCTTTTTTCAAGCATCCAACTCGTTGCCTGTATCTGCAAGCTGAGAATCGGCGTATTTCCTTAGTACCAGCCCTCGCCAAGACACAACACTTCAAGAAGGCTTGGAGCTTGGAGTTGAAAAAACCATCGAATGTGCAACTCCATCAACTCCTTTGGGGGGAAGGATCTCTTTTTTTTCTGTTCCGTTCTTTGATCTTGGTCGATGTTCAACCCAAACCTATGATTTGAGTGTGTTCTACCGTCATTTGAAGCAAGGATACAAAATCAAGATGTTCCCAAACATTAAGCCCGTACTCAACCACAAAAACCTAGGGGGGCAAACCCCTCATATTCCCATAAATTGATTGGTGTCCTTTTGATTTCACCCTTAAACACCATCCAACTTTGGGAATCCGCCTCACCACCCAAATGAGCCTCGGTCAAATTATGTGCTGCCCGTAATCGACTCAGAGATGTCAATGTGTTGCACTGTTTGTCTGGCTGCAATTCTGTGAGTCCCCTATATCGCAAGCCATCAACCATGGACAAATCAGCATGTGTTGACCGAATGTCATACTTGCCATATCTTGGGTGATTCCCAGGCAAGCAAAAGTGTCATATGTTTGTATGCTTAGAGAAACGTGGTGCATTGTGAGACGTCTGTATTATAAAATGTTTTGAAGAAACACAAACCCAAAGCGATTTCAAGCCCCACCCCCATCCCACCCCCAGCCCACCCCCAGCCCACCCCCAGCCCACCCCCGCCCACCCCCAGCCCACCCCCAGCCCACCCCCAGCCCACCCCCAGCCCACCCCCAGCCCACCCCCAGCCCACCCGCAGCCCACCCCCAGCCCACCCCCAGCCCACCCCCAGCCCACCCCCAGCCCACCCCCAGCCCACCCCCAGCCCACCCCCAGCCCACCAACCTTCAAAAACACAGGCAAGGTACGCTGAGACTCCAGACCCCCCGTGGCAGCGATGGCCATCTGTGCCAGGTTGGGCGGCGGCCCTGGCTTTAAGGGTGGGAGAACTTGCCGGTGCTCTCAGCAGGGAATGAGACATGGGATGACCCCTTAACAACCATCCCCTGTGGTTTGCTTCAAGGGAATGCCGAGGTTGATTCCCTCATTCCCTACTGAGCACCAGCAAGAGAAGTGTTTCAGCCAGACATCAAATTGGCGGTTTCCATATTGGGTCCCTCGAGGTTCTGTCGAAACTTAGTGAGCTTGATAGCCTGGGTAGGTGATTCTTTGAAGCTTTGTACGCGTTTTGGGAGTGGTTGCATCGGAAACAAAAGGAAACCCATCCATTTCAGAGGTCCCTTCTTCAAGATTTGAACCTAAAACTGACCACCGCAGCGAGTCTTGAATCTAAGGGCTGGCTGAGAGGGGTGCTTGCTGGACTCAAGTCCACTGCCAGTCTCAGCCGTCTCTAAGGTCATCTATAACACCAACAGTCTGACCTGAGTCCACAGACCTCTCAGCAACCCCTCGGACGGATTCCTTCGGAACACTTTCGACGCGCTCCATGCAACTCGAGGTTTCCTTTCTTGAGGGTAGTGTCCCCTTTCGATTTCCTTTTAAAACCAAAAGGGCACCCGCCAAAGAGAGGCCACCATCATACCACGACCGGCAGTTTCGCCGGGGGTATCCCATGAAATCCGCCCCCAGGTCGACGGCATATGCCCGCCTGGCGCGCTCTCCCGCGGGCCTGGCGGAGCGCGGCGGAGCTCCGCGTGGAGGTTTACACAGCATTTGTTTCAGCCAGGGTTGCGGGAAAGGACCACTTCTGTGATACAACAAAAAGGGCCTAACCCCAAAGTCTACCCCCATATACGAAGGGGGAGATTCTCTTGTATCACAGAAGCGGGAATAAACCCCTTGATCCCACAACCCTGTTTTCAACTATTGACACTCAGCTGAACATGGGCCAATCTGATTTGAGTTGCAAGTGAAGAGGCCCCTACCGGCGACTCGAGTCCAAATGGCTGGAATGAAATTTGTATTTCGTCTGGTCGTTTGCCAGTTAGGTTCTCTTCGATTTCGTCCACATGCAGCTCATAAGGGGAAGTCCCAGCTACTCGTCACCTCACATGCTACAAGAAAGCTGAAAGTCTGACTTTGAGGGTCCCGAACGGGCCCTCTTGGACGAGAGTAACGGAGTCCAAATAAGTCACACACCAGAAGTAATCCATTGAGGCACCTTGGGTGAGCGCATGCTCCCAGCCATTCCCAGGCTATGCCTAGATCCTATCCCTCAGGCGGCCTTTGGGCTCTCAAAATCGGCCCCGAGAGATCCGCCGGCAGAGAGGGTGGCGTCCCTTCAGAACTCACCTGAACGGGTCGTTACCCTTAACAAAAACTTGCTGGTGCGATAGGTAGGGAATGAGGCAATGAACCGGGGCTTTGGTCCCCTTCAAGGAAACCACAAGGGCTGGTTTACAGGGGTCACTCCTTCATTCCCTCATTCCCTGGGCACCAGCAAGAAAAGGGGACACACCGAAATAAAACCAAAATAAATAAAACCAAAATAAAACCCAAAAAGGAGACGGGCTTGGCGAATCCCTCGAATCTATTTTCGGACGCCTTCGCGGCGCCAGCTGGGCCGCGCGGGCCGCGAAGGAACACCCGGATCTGGCGCAGGCGCTGCAAGAAATGGGCTGGGCCTCTTTTTTTTGTACCCCAAGAAAGGGGTGGCTTCCAGGATGATACCCAAGCCAAAAGGCACCATGCTGTGGAGGGTCCCTTTCCAACAACAAAAAAATGCGGCACCCAGTTGAACCATTAGCCAGGGGTCTTGTATATCTGCGTGAATTCGCCAAACTCAAAAAATGGGTGGCAAACCCTGCTCTCCAAAGAAAGAACCCATACAAACGGTTGGTTTCATTTTGAAACCCTCTCAGCACATCTGAACGTTTTTGTTTGGTCGCATGGCCATTCACCAAACCCACGGTCGTTGGCAAAACATGGGTCTTCATACATGTAGCCTACACAAATGACAGGAACTGGCAAGGAAATTGACCCGAGCAAAAAACATACGTCGCATGGAATGCCAAGCACCCCGAAAAGGTAGTAGGTCTGGTCGTTTCAAGTCTCACAAGCTGCCTCCGTCAGTCATTGCGTCCGGCGAGTCCTCATCGCCTCTTCCTGTGCAGTGAACGGGCAGCACAGGGGGGCGTGCTCACAAAAACGAAGGACCTGTCGGCTCCTCCAGGTTTCGACCTGACTCTTTCTCCTCCAGACTCCCACCCCCACCATCTGCTCACAAAGAAGAAGGACCTCTGCTTCGTTGCAAAGAAAACAAGCTATTGCCTATCTTGATTGTTGGTCACTTTAAAAAAAAAAAAAGAAGAAGAAGAAAACATCCACGACTGAGCCCCCGCCATATTGGGGGCCGAAGGAACTGGAGGGGATTCTTCACTTGCGCGGGAAAAAACCTCAAAGAACACGGGTTGACTGATCCGGGGCTGACCTTCTCCTGAGGTACATGTTCCTCTCACAGAAGAAAAAGCACCACGAGATGTTCGGTAGACCGCAAGGTTTTGAGCTGGACCTTGCTAGGCAGTGGAGCTGGGCAATCCAAGGCCTGACGATACACACGCTACCTCAGCTATTGCCGCCAGGCAAAAATGTGATTCTTGCTGCTGGTCCATATTTAGCGAACCATCAAATTTGAACAACAAGCTCCCGGTAGGGGACGGTCACAGTTGAAGCTGAACTCAGCTTCCGACCTCTTTGCCGCTCTCTCAGCTTCATGCTTATCCCAGGCAACTTCCCGCTAAGTCGTTCCTTCCCAAATCAAGGCATTGCCTGAAATAAGGAAACCCGAATGGAACCAACCGTAGAGACATTTCTGGAGCGCCATCCAGCAAACTCGCTATCCTGGGCTGCAAATAGTCTGGGTTGGGAACCACCGCACAGGGGTCCACAACCTCCCGAAACCACGTGGGGAAGAATGGGGGGCTCCTTCCTCTTCTCCGGCCTGCATGTGGTGCCGGCCGCCTGGACGGCACATAGCCCCTTGCAGGGCCTGGCGATGCATCGGTGCGTAAAACCAGCAGGAAACTACTACTTTGTTTGGGTGGTCCAAAATTATGAGGCAAACCCTCCTCGACCGACTCTGGGCCATGAACGATTCGGCGCCGGTCGCAAGTGAGAACAGGAGGCATGGCTTTGCCTCCAAATAGGAGAGCCAGAACAATGGTTGGTTTCCCATGCGCTTCCCCAACAGGGGGCACTGAGCCTCAAGACTCGCCCATCACACCAAACAGCCTGCTCCCACAAACGCACAGACCGTCACCCTCCACAAGGCTCGGCACCTCTTCCGAACTGCGGCTCCTCAGCCCGACCTGCCAAGAAACAAGACAGCCAAGGTAAAGGAAGGAAAAGAGCCACCGGGATTGGCATCCACCAACGATGGAAGAGGTCACCACAGGATTCAAAGCGACATAAAGGTGTGGCCCCTGGTTGATTGATTGGTCCAGACGTACTGGCTCCATTGTGGTACCCAAATCCCATAGGGCCAAAGGATCAACGAGGGCAGCAAGCGGTCCTCACCTATGTTGGTTGGAAACGAAGCCCTGCCATGAAGGAGGCTTCACCAGCCGTTCGGGGAATTCACGCTCTTGACATTTTCATGAGCAACGCATAGGTATGTAAGTTGCTCCGCTTCCGGCAAGGCCAAGGTTCCGTCAAGCCCATTCTGGGCTCTGAAAGCGCAGTCTGCGCTTGTGCTGTAACACCAGGCGCAGTCTGCGGCCCTCCGCGCAGCGTTGGCGTGCAAGGTCGTCTGTTGCCATTCACCTCTGCAAAAGCTCCGCAGGCCTCGTCAGCTGCGCAGCAAGAATCGACCGCGCGAACGCCAACTCGCTGCCTAGATCGAGAAGTTGCGAGTCTGGCCCCATCTCTCCCAGTCCGGAGCCAGAGCCACTTGGGCTCCTGGTCGCGGTCCGCGCACATCTGGTTGTTCGGCAGGGCTCGCTCGACCTTGTTTTCATTCTCCCGAGAGTGGCATCTTCAGCATTTCCAGCTGGCACAGAGTTGTCCGCCTGACACGTCAGAGTTCTCCGCGTGGTGCGCCGGATTTGTCATCCGCCCGACGGCTCCCCGCGCAGCCAGGCTACAGCGGAGGCGGGCATCGCGGAAGCCGCGGAGGAAGACGCCGCGGACGCCGCGCGGCTGAAGAGGAAGTCCTGGCCGGCGGCTTTTTGGTTCAAGAGTCCAACAGCCAAACCCGGCCTTGAAAGGAAACCACGGGTTGTTGTTGTTGTTTTGTTTTTTTTTGTTTATCTAAAAGCCGGTGGGTTGGGTGTTCGTGAAAACCCAATGGAGGCTTGAGAAGAGGATATCCCACGCCTGGCAGTCCCGGCCGCTCGGCTGCACCGAGCGCCGCACCGTGCTGCTAATCGGCTCACCTCGGCGAAGATGAGATCAATGCTCAGCAGCACGTGCAAAGGGGTCCCGTCTGGGGGAATGAGACAAAAAGAAGGCAGCATCACACACACACACACACACACACACACACACACACACACACACACACGCAACACGCCTTTCTAGGTGCCGTTTTGGAAACCAGTGGAACGAGAAAAGCAAACACACACTGCCAAGTCTTCCTCCGAGTCTCCTTCGCTCTCCGACGCCGAGGTCTCCCTCCGCTTCGCATGCGCCGCCGGATTCGGCGGATTGGGCGGCTGCTCGGCCACCATGTGCCGCACCACGTAGCGGTGAGCCGCCAGGGCCCTCCTCAGATCCGTCTCGGTCTGGTGCAGCAAAAGCAATCGCTGCTGCACCTCGTGCCTGGGCCGGACCAAAAGGCCCAAGACATGGCGCCTGCTTTTCGGGCCCTGAAAGATCCCCTAAAAGTTTCGCCTCTTGGTGGGTGAAATGGAAATCTTTACTGAAGCCCCAAAAGCTACAAGGCGAAGGGGATGGCTGGGAGCCCCCTACTTTGATGTCTCTTTCCTGCTTAAAAAGCACTCCAGAAATAGACTAGGTTGCTTTTCCAGACCTCACACTCCCAAGACTAAGTGGATCTAAGTAGAACTAGCCACTACTAAACCGATACTGAGCCAACAGATTCTCTGGCGTCCCCCCTCGATCTGCAGGGCCCCCGAGAGCGAAGCTGCGTCTGCGCGCCCTTTTTTCCATTCCTTACCGCATCAGTGTTTGACGTAAGTGACAAAACATGTTCCTAGAATGATACGTATCCCTAGACATCTAGGATCAGGAGGAACAAAAGAGTTCTGTCAGTGCGAAAGGAAACCAGGGCAGGTTTGGATTTCATCACGTGCCAGAAATGAGTGGGACCAAACTGAAATCAGTTGCTTTGTCCTCAAACTGACCTCGCGGGTTCTGTCAATCGAGGAGCGCCCGAAACCCGTTGACTTGTTGGTTCAACTAACATGGTTATAAAGGTTTCTTTAAAACGCATATTTAGACTTTACTATAACCCCAATCAAACCAAGGAGTGGTTGGGCGCTGCACCAATTTGCTGTGGCAAGTCCAAGCAGTTTGCTAAAACTTGGAGCAGCGCGCCTCACATGGAACGTTGTCAATCACATTGCAAGCCTTCTCGGGACCTCGATTTTGGGGTGATCATGTGGTCCTTTCTGCAGAGACCCCTCGCATGTCAGTTTGGGAGGCGGGTCCTAGGGGCCACTTCCAAAGCCCGACAGAAAAACACCTGCCACCAACCAACCCAAAAAAAGACCCCCCCCCCCCCCCCCCACAACCCCCCAACCGCCCCACCCCCCCCAACCCCCCCCCCAACTCCCCCAACCCCCCCCCCCAACCCCCCCAATCCCCCCCCCAACTCACCAGGCCCAAGGCGCCCAGGCTCAGACTCCCCGCTGTCGAGCCGAAGCCGGCTGCACCTCGGACGCCACATGGCTGCCTCTATGGTCGCAGTGTGCACGTGTGCATGCTGCATTGTTGCTGTGTTTACGAATGCTCGTCTGTATACGTGTCGAGTTGTTCACGTGTGCATGTTCATATGCGGAGACATATTCATGTACATATGTGTGTACATGTTCATGTCTACATGCCCACGTGCATGACAAATCCGCCGACCCCATGCCTGGTCCAGAATGGACCATGCTTTCGGCATGGGGGCGGTGTGTTCTGTGTTGCTTTTGTTGATATGCTTTCTATAAGTTTAATGTGAATATGATTATGTAGATATATATATATATATACCTATATGTCCCTTGGGGCGGCCCTTGGGGCTGGTTTCTACGTCGGCTGGATTTCTGGATTTCTGGATTTCTGGATTTCTGGATCTGGATTTCTGGATCTCTCTGGAATTCTGGATTTCCCCCCCCTCCCCCCCCCTCCCCCACCTCCCCCCCCCCTCCCCCTTCCCCCCGGCTTCTTCCCGTGTCTTCCGTAATCTTCCGGCTTCTCCCAGTAATCTTCCGTAATCTTTCGGCTTCTTCCCGTAGTCTTCCGTAGTCTTCCGGCTTCTTCCCGTAGTCTTCCGTGGTCTTCCGCCTTCTTCCCGTAATCTTCCGTAATCTTTCGGCTTCTTCCAGTAGTCTTTCGTAGTCTTCCGGCTTCTTCCCGTAGTCTTCCGTAGTCTTCCGTAGTCTTCCGGCTTCTTCCCGTAGTCTTCCGAAATCTTTCAAGCTTCTTCCCGTAAATTTCCGCAATCTTTCCGGCTTCTTCTCCTAGTCTTCCGATACTGTTTCGGGACCAAACAACGCGCGTGTCCTGTGTTCGGGCTTCTTCCCTAGGCTTCGGGTAGTCTTCCCCCACCCCTCCGCCCCCCCCTGTGTCTGTCTATGTCTGTCTACGTATCTGCATCTGTCTTCGTGTCCGCGAAGACCCCCCCTGCCCCTGCGTGTCTGTCTGTGTCTCTTTGTGTCTGTCTGGGTCTGTCTGCGTCTGTCTTCGTGTCCGCGAAGACCCCTTGCGTGTCTGTCTCTGTCTCTTTGTGTCTGTCTGTGTCTGTCTGTGTCTGTCTACGTATCTGCGTCTTTCTTCGTGTCCCCCCCCCCGCGTGTCTGTCTGTGTATTTGTGTCTGTCTGGCTCTGTCTGCGTCTGCCTGCGCATCTGCGTCTGTCTTCGTGTCCGCGAAGACCCTCCCCCCCCGCTGCGTGTCTGTCTGCGTGTCTTTGTGTCTGTCTGTGTCTGTCTACATATCGCGTGCTTTCTCTCGTCCCGGGCCGAAATTCTAAGGTGTGTGGGGGCGGCGGAACCAGGGGGCAGGCCATTAAATAAACGCCTGTTTTGTGTATCTGAGTTTTTGTGTGTATATGTGTCCCAGCTACTGCATGTCTGGTGTGCGCTGGCAAGTGACAACTGAGAGAATACCATGAGTGCATACACGGATGACTGTGTCTCAAAATGAGTCCCATGAAGTCGTGTCGGAGGTATGTTTCGAGGACATATTATATACGGTGCATATCAACTCGGGAATATAGGATTGCTCTGGCAAGCTGGTGCATGGGTCCACGACCTGCTGGTAAGCAGAAGCCTACAGGTCTTGTCTTCAAACAAAGGCCCCGGCGTGTGATTAACATGAGGAAAACGTTCCTGCAAACACAATGACATGATGTGCTGCACCAACGTCCGCCATCAAGCCTCATCATCGTCATCACCATCACCATCACCATCACCATCATCATCATCGTCACCATCACCATCACCATCACCATCACCATCACCATCATCATCATCATCATCATCATCATCATCATCATCATCATCATCATCATCATCATCATCATGCCACCGCCATCACCACCACCACCAGCACCACCACCAGCACCACCACCACCACCACCACCACCACCATCTTCTTCATCGTCATCCTCGTCATCCTCGTCATCCTCGTCATCCTCGTCATCCTCGTCATCCTCGTCATCATCATCATCGTCATCCTCGTCATCCTCGTCATCATCATCATCGTCATCATCATCAGCAGCAGCAGCAGAAGCATCATCATCACCTCGTACAGTTGGTGTATCTGAAACAATGCAACCCCAGCTCACCTTCATCGCAAGCGCGGCCGGTCGCGCGACCCAACCTTCGGGGCCCCAACGCGTCGCTGGGAGCCACCAGGCTGGCGCGCTCCGCACGCTCCTGGAAGCGCAAAGACGAGGCTCTGTTGGAAGGGTTGGGACCCAAGGTGGCGTCCATTTTCCCCAAACTGGGGCAGAAATCGAGGAATCAAAGTATGCCTGTATGTTATTTAGCAACCGTATAGTGGCTGAACCCCCGAGGGAAGTGGCTTCGAGGTACTGCTTTCATCATGGAGTTGGGCCCAAGGAAGTCAAACACACACTTGGGGGCGGTGTCCATTTACTCAAAGTCTGTCTAGATTGGAAAGCCCCCACATTGGCTCATTGGCCCCTTGAGCAAAATGGCAACATGGATTCTCTGCTCATGCGATCCAGCCCTCTTGGCAAGGCCGGTGGCTAGGAAAAAAACACTTGGCTTCTGTTGGTTGACTTGTCGTTCTACACGAGGAGGAGAACAAATGTGCTGCTGGTACAGAAACCCTCACAAGGTCCCCTTATTCGCGTTCAAAGAATCGAAAGGGTGAATTCTCCTGAGAACGAAATGACAAATCACAGACCTCAATCAACATATCCAAAACCTGCTCGCGCATGAGGTGCATTGACAAAATGGCGGAGCCCCCACGCTTCAAACGTGGCACCAAATGATGCCAAGGTCCCAAAAAAGACCACTATCATGACAAGCTAGCATGGTGCAAACTCTGATCTCTCTCTCTCTCTCTCTCTGTCTGGCTCTCTGTATTGGTTCGGGCCCCCGAAGCCCTACAAAAATGGGCACTAGATTTGTGGCAAACTCCACAGCACTTGCCAGAAAACCACACAACGCTTCTCTCTGCCCTGAGAAGCTAGCGAGCACAATCATAACCTGCTCTTAACCAAATCCATGAATCCTGGTTTTCATGGTTGCGTCACTTTCAGCTTGAAACCCTCATGCTCCTCCGTCTTCATCTTTTCCTGAAGCTTGTCTCTGGCCGCGGTGGCTTCTTGAAGCTCGTCCTTGTGTTTCTTCACATCCCCAGCAAGCTCGGCATGCTCCGCACGCCACTCTGCCGTGCTTTTCTCTGCCCGCCTCAGCACAACAACACAAACTGGTCAAGAGCCAGTTTGTCATCGATCTACAAGACAAACACGACTTCCCTAAACTAAACACAACTACTCACAGTGGCCCCAAACCTGGAGCAAGCACGAGATTTCACACCAGGCAGCAAGAACTTTTGGACCAAAATAGCTCAAAGGCCACTCTCGCAAGTTTCCAGATTGAGACAAGGCGCGCAACTTCCTCCTTCAATTCCTCCACATTCTTTGAAGCCGCCTCTGTCCCCGAGCTCTGCGCCTCTTTCAGCTCCTGAACAGCTGATTTGGCAGTGTACTAGGCGCAGATTGGGCACATTGGCCGACACTGCGGCAGCGAATCCGCAGGACATATGACCTCATTGACATCTGACATGGGCGAGTCCCAACTGTTGCTTTCACCACGAGCAACACAAATGACAAACAAAGGTACATGCAAAAAGCACTCGAGCGACATCTCGGAAAGTTCAAAAAGCAACCCACAAGCTCCTCCGCTGATGTCTTCATCTCTTCCTGGAGCTTGTCTCTGGCCGCGGTGGCGTCTTGAAGCTCGTCTTTGTGCTTCTTCGCATCCCCAGCAAGCTCGGCATGCTCCGCGCGCCACTCAGCCGTGCTTTTCTCTGCCCGCCTCAGCACCACATTGGAAACTGGTGAATAGCGAGGCAACAGCCAAAGTTAGGAATAACATCGGGCCAAAGGGGCTGAAATCTCATCGACGTACGAGACAAGGACAACATCTCTAAACTCCCCAAACTAACCACAACTGGGAACAAGCACGAGACTTCACACCGGGCAGCAAGAGCTTTTGGACCAAAGTAGCCCAAAGGCAACTCCCGCAAATATTCGAGCATTGAGACAAGGCGCGCAACTTCCTCCTTCACTTCCTCCAGATTCTTTGAAGCCGCCTCTGCCCCCGAGCTCTGTGCCTCTTTCAGCTCCTGAACAGCGATTTGGCAGCGTACTAGGCGCAGATTGGGAACATTGGCCGACACCGCGGAAGCCAGTCGACATATGACATGAGCGGGTCCCAACTATTGCTTACACCACCTGCATCACAAATGACAAACAAAGGTAGATGCTTCTACATCTGGGAAAGTTCAAGAAGCAACCCACAAGCTCCTCCGCTGCTGTCTTCATCTCTTCCTGGAGCTTGTCTCTGGCCGCGCTGGCTTCTTGGAGCTCGTCTTTGTGCTTCTTCGCATCCCCAGCAAGCTCGGCATGCTCCGCGCGCCACTCAGCTGTGTTTTTCTCTGCCCGCCTTAGCACCACAACGGTGACTGGTCAATAGCAAGGCAACAGCCAAAGTGAGGAATAACATCGGGCCAAAGGGGCTGAAACATCATCAATCTACAAGACAAACACGACATCCCACAACCAACCACAACTACCCACAGTGGCCCCAAGCCTGCAACAAGCACGAGATTTCGCAGCCGGCAGCAAGAGCTTTTGCCCCAAAACAGCTGAAATCTCAAGCAACCGCATCCCGCAAATGTTCAAAGGCAACTCCCTCAAGTGTTCAAGCATTGAGACAAGGCGCGCAACTTGCTCCTTCAATTCCTCCAGATTCTTTGAAGCCGCCTCTGCCCCCGAGCTATGTGCCTCTTTCAGCTCCTGAACAGCCGATTTGGCAGCGTACCAGTCGCAGATTGGGAACATTGGCCGACACCGCGGCAGCCAGTCGACATATGACATGGGCGGGTCTGAATCGTTGCTTTCACCACCAGCTTCAAACGTAGATGCAAAAAGCACTCGAGCGACATCTCACAAAGCTCAACAAGCAACCCACAAGCTCCTCAGCTTCTGTGTTCATCTCTTCCTGGAGCTTGTCTCTGGCAGTGGTGGCTTCTTGAAGCTCGTCCTTGTGTTTCTTCGCATCCCCAGCAAGCTCGGCATGCTCCGCGCGCCACTCAGCCGTGCTTTTCTCTGCCCGCCTCAGCACCACAACGGAAACTGGTCAATAGCAAGGCAACAAAGTTAGCAAGCGTCAAAGGGGCCAAGGGGCTGAAACATCCTCGATCCACAAGCTATGCTCCGACGACTCCAAGACTTTCAGGTTTCAAGGAAACATCAGACTCGCTGACCTTGGCCCAACCCCGCGATACGCCAAAAACAAAATGTTCAGAGCTTCGGTATCAAATAATCTCAGCGAGACCCGGACGCCCCCCAGGTAAAATGCCCTTCTGGGGAATCGCTCTTCCCTATGTTGGGTTGTTTGCAGGGCTCCTTGAAGCATCCAAAAACCACCCGCTTTACACTGAGAGAACCTCTACATCAGCTGGAAGAATGCGAGTTTTTGGCTGGGCCCAAAAACGTATCCTTTTAGGGGCCCTGTTTTTTGTTTTTGCTTTTCCCCGGATCGGGAGTATTCTGCTTCGAGAGTTAGGAGAGCTCCTGTTCATGGCTAGGAGGGAATGCGGTGGGGGCACTGCTAAGGAGTCCGGCAACGAGGCCCGAGGCCCGCGCGCGGCTTCCTCCCGGGACTCCGCCTGCTTGTTCCGTGCCTCCGTCAGCTCCTGGGGCATTGGCACGGGCGGCTTTCCTTCACATATGAATGACAGAGAATATGTGTAGGCAGGAAAGGGAAGAAAGAAACCAAACCAAACCAAAACAAAGTAATGAACCAACCAGACCGACCGACCGACCGACCAGCCAACCCACCGACCGACCGACCGACCGACCGACCGACCAGCCAACCCACCGACCGACCGACCGACCAACCACCCGACCGACCGACCAGCCAACCCACCGACCGACCCACCGACCGACCGACCAGCCAACCCACCGACCGACCGACCAACTAACCCACCGACCGACCGACCAGCCGACCAACCGACCGACCGACCCACCGACCAACCAACCAACCAACCAACCAACCAACCAACCAACCAACCACCAGACCAAGGGTAACCCCAATAGTCCAAGGAGGCCCAAACATGCCTTAACGGAGGCTCTCTGATCCATGATCCCAACCTCCCAGTTGAAAGAGTCAGCAAATGCGATCCATCCAACACCTCGAAGGGATATCAAAAGGAAGCAAGCCGTTTGGGGAATCCTGCACGTTCGGGGTGAGATCATTCATGCTTCTAAAAATGGCGGTCCTTGCTTCCCCGGTGGCCATGGAAAGGGCAAATGTGGTATCCCAAGTTTGGTCAATGCTTTTTCAGGCAAAGTCGCCAAGCAACAGACAGAAAAGACCAACGGTTGCAGGGTCCGAAGTGAAGCACATGGCAGCGTTGTCACTTGAAGTGGCCCGAAGACCTCCCTTACACCTCCCAAACCAGTACCTTTTTCGGGTGGGTGAATTGCAAGAGCGCGTTCTTCTGCGAGAAAAAAAACATATCGGCACCAATGGAGATCCTTTTTCTCTTTTCCTCAGGAATGGATTTGGATCCGATCCTGCTTCAGTGCCGCCAGCGCAAGCTCGCTTGCCGCGCTCGAGCCTCGGCACGGGGGTGCCAAGGGGCCTATTGGATTCAAAATCACGGGCCCCGCTTCTTACGACCCATAAACCCCCTTATTGTTGGACTCCCCCGCCCGGGGTTGGCCCCCACGTACCCCTCCCATAAACCAGTTTTTGGACTCAACCCAGGGTTGGCCCCCCTGCGCCCCCTTCCCGCCCCCACCGGCCAAAGGGGCCGTTTTCCGCTTCCACCTGGGGCAGCTGTTCCTGCGCTGCTTTCAGTGCATCCTTGGCGGCCGCCAGCTCCAAGAGCCTCGCTGAGGCAGAAATGTCATGATGTCATCATTCATGAAATAGTCATTCACCATAAACAAAGCAGACCATTTGGACGGAAAATCGTTTGGGGACAGTTGCGGAGAGGGCGTGCTTTGTGATTCCCCAAGTTGCCAACACGGCACCTGTAGGGGGAAACCCAAACAAAACCAACAGGACTTCCACTGGCAGAAGTTTGATCCCCAATTGGTCCGACAAAAAAACAAGGCCGAGGAAAGAAACAACAACCCATGTTTCGCGTCGCCTTGGGGTCATCCTTTAGCCCCCTAACAAAAAGACATCCGGGTATGGGTCAAAATTCAGCCACCAGAAACGGGACCGCAGGTGTTAGTCCATGTCTCCATTTACCCGAGTTCCATTCTGGGTACCCTCCCTTCCACTAACATAGCACCTGTGGGAGGGTACCTGGAAGATGATTTTTCCTCTTCAATGGACCCTCCGTCAGGTGCCATGTTAGTGGAAGGGATTCTACTTTGGACCCGCAGCCACCCCCCGTCTCGCCCGAGCCGCAGCTTGGCGTGGCCGCCCGTTTCGGCGCCGGACGCGTCCTCAGCCTCGGGGTCCTTCTCTGGTCCTTCACCATGCTGGCGCTGCTCCAGCACCGCGCCTCATGGCCGAGGGGCCTAATGGACGGCCCTTCAGCGTGGTGGGAGCTGGAATTTCTAGGCTGGAAAAAGGGACCCCAGCAAAAAACTAGACCTTTTCTTGCCTGGAAAATGTGGAAAACAAAGGGACCCCAAAAAAAGAAGGGGGGGGGGGGGGAAAAAAAAGAAGGGGAGCTAATTCTGGAGAAGAAATTCGCTTCCCCGGCATTTGCCCGGCCATTCAAGGACGTGCCCGAGCTTTGCGGGCGGACTGTTCATCTTACAGGGAGCCACGCCTCACGCTTTGGACAAATCGTAAGTTGGCGCGTCTAACCGTTTACGGGAACCTGATAAGCAGGCTCAAGGGACATCCAAGTAGGTTTCCATAGTCGTGGTCGCCAGGCAGCAATACCAACCACCAATGAAGGAAAAAACAAGCCCGGATGGTATCCCCAACAGCCCTGGAACCCCCCTGAATCCTCCTTTTGAACCCTCCCTGAAAGCTGCCCCCAAACCACCCCAGATCTGGGCAGGGACCCCATAGCTTTCGGCTGTTGGGGAACAATAAATGGTAGTAGTCGCCATGGTAGTCGCCCGGCAATACCAACGACCAACGAAGCAAAAAGACAATACATCACCGCGCCAGGCTGCGGCTGGACCGCAGCGCCTCCGCTTGCACCACACTGAGCCGGGACCGCCGGTCCCGCCGCGGCCCGGCGCTGCCCACCTGCACGCGCGGGCCGAAGAAAGTGGATGCTGTCGATGCCCCTGGTCTCCTAAAACCCCGGGTTGGCCCAAAAACAATGCTCAAAGAACTGGAAAAAATAGCTGTACGTCTGGAGCAACTTGCGTAAACTCCCCTCGACATGAGAAGAGGCTGTGAAGATCAACAAGGAGTTGGCAATGCGCAACATGGTCAGAACTAGGGATCCGCCTCACAATTGTCGACACGTTGCCAAAGCAAGGACTTGTCTTCAGTCTTTTGGCAATTCTGAGGCCCTGCTTACTGCAAGAGTCCCATCCATTGCTTACGTATCATTTGAGCGCCTTGCGATGGAAAGGTCTGTTCCTGAAACTCCACTTGACTTCATCTCGGAATGGGAGACCCCAAACCGGGGAGTTTCCATCTTCAGCTTCCTTTTGACATCCAAAAAAAGGGGTGAAACACATCGCCTTGCGATCATGGTCCACGCTCACACCAACAGAATCCAAAAATGCAACGCTGAGGTGAAATCAGTCGCACACTACCTCTTGAAGATCCCGATTGTGGTGATTTGTCGAGATTCTTGTTTGAAGGGAAATGCCATCAACATGGCTGGCAAAACTACTCCGTGCAAATGGCGTCCACCTCAAAAGTCTCTGAAGATTCAAAGTTCTCCAGTGAACCAGGGGGCACAAGCTGCTCTCTCATATAAACAGGGTCTGTCCAATGCAGGGGCAACGCTTCTTGGAATGTTAGAAGGGAAACCAAAAGGAAGTCACCCATTTGGAGACCCGACACAGCCATTGCCAAAGCAAGAATGGTTGCATCCTACCAAGTGTCCGACGTAAATATACACCTGCTCTGGACTCACAGGGTTCCTTGTTTTTGCCCCAAGCGTGCGAGGACCCGCGGCTGGCTCCCTTTCCCTCCGCCCTCGCCCCCGACTCAACTCGCCTTCGGCTCTTCCATGACGTCCGCGCCGCCATTGCGCGGACGGCGAAGCGGCTAACCGAAGCCCGGCCAGGTGGAAAGAACCCGCACAATCTCGGCCTCTGGACAACTGGATACGTGCAATATGTTCACAAAACCTTGCTGAGTCTGAGCAAGTCATCTGGCTGCTTCTTTGTGCGAGGCCCTTTCGCTTGGGAGACAAGCCTCCCCGTGCACCCGTGTCTCGGCCTGGGAAATGTTACTCCTCTTTGAATTAACCCGAGCCCAACAGGGGGCGTGGCTTTTGAGTTTCGTGCCAATCACTGAAGTATCCCAAACATGCCGTTTGGGACTTTGCAGACAGCATGTTCCTCCTGAGGGGTCCAATGAAACCTCGAATGAATGTTTTGCTGGAACACCCATTGGGTTGATGCAAAGGGGAAATATACTATAGGGGGTCCCGATTCGCAGACAAGCGCAAAATTCACAAAGGGCCACCCCGTCCAAAACAGAAGGAGTACAGGGACGACACCGGGTTGTTGGGTTTTGGGGAGAGTTGGGGTGATGACCATGGTCAGGACTAAACTCATGCACGCGGTCGGGTCTATCAGCAGCTTGGCGTCCAAAACCCCCCCTCTCCACCGTGCCTGGAAATGCAGTGCCTGCCACGCCAAGCAGCGAGCGCGGATCTTGACTCGCCCGTTTACAGTATGTGCCCGCGCTGTAGCAGACCCCCTGAGGTTGCCGGCTGCTTGGGGCAGGTTGCTTCACAAGTGGCTCAAAGTTAGGGAACCAGGCCCCTTTTCCCAACCTCCCCCCAGACCTCCATGACCAAACAGACAAAAAGGGTTGGGCCCTTGCAGACCAGGGATGCCAAAAAATATCATGAAACATTCTCAAGCCACTACTTCTCAAAGAGCCTCGCTCTGGTCTCATTGAAGGGAGCCAAAAACGATGCTTCTTCAAAATCTGTCTTGCCCTATTTCCGCCTGAACCCCCCAGCACCCTCCCGGCTCCCCCCGCCCCCTCCAGAACCGCCAAACGACACTTGGTCCCCTAAAACCCAAGTGATTGATTCGCATCCAGATCTGCCTACTGTGTCGCTGGAAAAGGAGGTGACTCCTTTGGCTGACAGCTTCTGCCAACCATGTTCCATAACCATCCAGGCAAGCTACAACAGTTCACACACCTACAAAAAGGAATCCACAGGTGAGCCGACATCGGTCGCAAACCGCAACAAGCACCACGTCGCGACGTCATTCGTGCAAAACCCATCTGCACAAAAACAAAAGCGACCGCAGCTTGCATAACAGAAACACCCCAGGTTAACGACACAAACTCATCTCGACACCCCCCTCCCCTGTGGATTGCGATTGCGTGTCCCAGCCCCTGCGGACATCGCAGAAAAGCTAAAACGCCGAAAACGGCGAAAACGGCGAAAACGGCGAAAACGGCGAAAACGGCGAAAACGGTGCTACGGTCTTACCGTTCCCGCTGTTCTGGCCGTTTTCGCCGGGCCATGCACTTCTCAATTTCTGCTGTCCGCAGTGTTGTAAGATCATCTGGAAATTTATTTCATTCATGGTTTCATGGTTTCATGTTTTCATTCATGTTTTCTTTGATTAATTCATTCCTTGAATATTTGATTATTTCATTCACTCATTCTTTCTTTCATTCTTTCATTCATTCATTCATTCATTCATTCATTCATTCATTCATTCATTCATTCATTCATTCATTCATTCATTCATTCATTCATTCATTCATTCATTTCATTCCTGCATTTCATGCCATGTCATGTCATGTCATGTCGTTTCATTTCATGCTATTTCATTTCATTTCATTTCATGTCATGTCATTTCATTTCATGTCATTTCATTTCATTTCATTTCATTCATTCATTCATTCATTCATTCATTCATTCATTTATTCATTCAATCGGCGAACGCCGTGAAAACAGGAAAACGGCGACAACGTCGAAAACTAAGCTGAGCAAGCCAGCTACAAAGGGCCAGACCGGCGAAAGTGGCGAAAACTGGAAAACGGGGGTTTCCGCGAAAACGAGAAAACGGCGAAAACGTGACACTAAACTGCGGCAAGCCAGCTACAAAGGGTCAGAACGGCAAAAGCGGCGAAAACAGGAAGACGGGGAAACGGGGAAAACGAGAAAACGGCGAAAACGACGAAAACGGCGAAAACGGCGAAAGCGGCAAAAACGGCGAACACGGCGAAAACGGCGCAAAACGGCGAAAACGAAAAAACGGCGGTTTGCCCGTTTTCCCGTTTTCTCGTTTGCTTCTTTTTAGGCGTCATCCCGCCGGTCCACGGCGCGATTGAAGTGCTTAGCCCCTCCCCCCCCCACGGAGCTCCTACTTTGGCGCACCTCACCTTCCCCCACCTCGCGCCTCGCACGCGGCGATAGGCCGCCGGCAGCTCCAAACCCGGGGCCGCCTCGCAGGGCGCCTGACCGATGACCTGACTTCCCAGCGGTCCCCCTCCCCCCGGCAGCCCCCCCGGGCAGTTCGCCCCCAAAACCCGCCGAATCTATCGGAAAGGCCATGCTCCTTTTTGTCTTTGTTTGTTGGATGACCGGAGTTGGAAAGGCTTTTTTTGTGTTTGCTGGTTCTATGCGGAGGTGGGCTCGGTGCATCCTGTAAACCTGAACTAGGCGGAACACGCCTCACGTGGAGCATCACCTGGACTGTCACAAACTGAGGGTCCAAGGAGAAAACCGAAACTCGCAAGAACAATGGTGGGCCAAGATGACACAGGGCTCCCTATATTTCCCCTGAAAACATCACCCCCACCAAGGGGCACGCACCTTTCATGGAACAAAAAGGTGATGTTTAAAACAACCCAAAAGGGAGATATAGGGACCCCTGTCTGACACCACAGGGCCCAAGACAGGCCCGATGGTTGACCCCGGTGCTGAAGAGAAGGCAAGCCCCCGAAGCCCCCAAGCCCGACCAACTTCCGATGGGCTGGTGCTCGCGTGCCAGCATTTGGTCAAGACATATGCGACTGAATCCTCTCACTCCCACACTGGGATAAATCTCTCAGGTAGCGTGTCCAGTAGGGAGCCTCCAAAACACCAGTCATTCGGGATTGTCTAAGTGGATCGGCATGCTGCTTGGAGCTTCTGATTGACGTCTGCCTTGATACTTACTTGGAACGCCGGGCTGACAAGCCTGGTTCAATCATGAGAAGATGCTCTCCAAAGATGATTGGCAGCCAACATTCTGAGCTTGTGCTTGGACCCCTTTGCCCCCTTGAAAGGCAGCGTTCAACTGAAAAGGGGACAGCGATCCAGGCGTGGCGCGGACGTGGCTCTCCCAAGAAAAAGTTCCACGTCCCAATCGGAGAACATCCCCTCGCCCGCGCGCGCCTTGGCCCTGCCGAACAATGGTGTCATGGGATCACCGGAGCTTGCGGCCAAGCGTATCACAGCTGAGCCCCGTCCCCCGCACCAAGACCTGTCAGGTGCCACGTGTAGCCCAACTCATTTTCAGGGATAAGCTCTCAAAGACGACTCCCAAGAAGCACAGATGTTCTGGCATGGCCTCAAGCGAAAAGAACCGAGCCACCCATTGCCCCCAAGAAAACGGATTGTGCCAAGCCTTCCATGTCAGGAGTGTCCAAAAAACCTTCACTTTGGATCTTCGATCCAAACCAAATCCCTTTGTGAGATCGCTCGCCTTGATTTGCTCTACCTTGTGCTGACAAAAAGCCACAAAGCGAAGGCGTTGGCTCAAACTGTGGCCCCCTCCAATCAAACACCTCGCTATGTCCCATGGTGCTGTTCCTTTTGGAGTTCCCTTCAAGCCAACCGTACCCCCAAAACAGCACATTCCCCGTGAATGTGAGTCAATCTGTCGTCTTCTAGCCATCCAGAAGGCACTAATTCATGCCGGCTCACTCTTGAAATGGCCCCTGGCCCCCTTTAAGGCTCCTACTCAAAATGTCTTTCCAAAGAAGTAAGCTTTCAACTCTCCAAGACAAAAAGAAACGCGGGGCGCGAAAACACGGGGCTTAGCTCAGTCACATTTTTCGCAGCTCGCAACTGGGGGGCCGGGAAGGAGGCGTCCGGTGCCCGACCGGCACACTTTCGCACTCCCTCCCGCACTCTTCCCCAAATGGCGGTGGGTCAAAGCCAATGCTACCCATTTTGGGGTAGGCGAATGCACCACCTATTCTAGAACCTGTTTTAGTGGGGATTGAATCGGATGTTCACCGGGGCTGCGATTTGGATCTTGACCCATGGCCAAATGCCGAAACCATGCACGGGCTTCGCAGTGCATCGCGGCGAAGCGGCGGAGCGGCGAGGCTCGGGGCTCCTGTGGGTGCCACCAGAATGGTAAAGGCTTATCACCAGCATACTCCAGGACATAACAAAGCGACTGATCAACCAAGTAGACGACAACACAAATTTCATTGGCAGGCTGCAACAAATGGTCTGCTGAGCGCCCGAGTTCCTGTTTCGCCGCGCACATCTGTGGGTGGAAAGCCACCAAAGTTTGCATCAGACAGCAAAAGCTCTCGCCTCACGGCCTCACTGCAGGAGCTTGATCCCCGCGACCAGGACCAATCCCTCCATAGTAACCTCGGGGCACCCGTCAGAGTTTGTCCCAAAATGGGAGACCCATCAAAACGGTTGGCTTCCTTTTAACCAGGCACAAAGCTTGTACCGGGAACAGGGGCGAGCCCACCAACAAGATTCAGGTTCCGCAGACTGATCCCAGCGGCTTGTCCAGTAACTACAGCAAACTGTTCGAACAAGCAACCAGCTCTCGCATTGCCGACCTCGCTCGCGTATGTCAAAGCAAATTGCTTTCTCAATTTCATGTTGGTTCCCTTGTCTGAAAATTGTCCCCAAGCTTATTTTGACACAAGCATCATCATGCATCATCCATGGTGCTTGCTCAGCCAAACACCGCGCACAATCGAGCCCCCGGCGGATGCGATTGAGGCGAGCATAAAGCCTGAGCTTTCTTCGGGTGCTTGGATGACGGTGCTTCTCAAAGGGGTTCCCCTCTGGATCAATGCCCCCGCTGAAAGGAACACTTCTGAGTTCTTTCAGCCGCGGACGTTGTTCTCGCCACACCGGGTT